TCTCCCCCTATAATTACCTGAGCCTCTGCCGACCACAGGGAGCTTCCCAAAGGCCCCAGAGCTTCAACGAAGCCCCACCGCTTGCTGAGAAGGCCTGCCCCTTCTCACATCCCCCCTCCGCGCGCCGCCAGCTTCTGGGGGCCGGGGGAAGAACAGAAATGATCCCGACGCCGCTGCTCCCCAGACCTAAGGGTGCGGTCTGTTCGGAACTTCGACGAGAATCCAGCTCGGGCGGGTGGCAATGGGGGGTGACCCACACGGGGGGGGGGAAGACCAGGGCCCTAAAGGGGCCTTTGGGGCTCCTTCTGGAGCGAGCTGTGGCCCACAGGGGCCCTGAAGGGCCCCTTGTTGGGCCCTCCTCCTCCTCCTTCTCCTCCTCCTCCCTATCCTCCTCCTCCTCCTCCTCCTCCTCCTCCTCCTCCTCCTCCTCCTCCTCCTCCTCCTCCTCCTCTTCCTCCTCCTCCTCCTCCTCCTCCTCCTCCTCCCCCTCCTCCCCCTGCTCCCCCTCCCCCTCCTCCCCCCTTCCTCCTCATCCCTCCTCCGCTCCGCGCAGCAGAGCAGAGGATTGGAACAGTCACCGATGCCGCTGCTCGTCCTGCAGAGGCATCGGTAATTTGACGACCCGAGGAGAAGAAGGGGGAGGAGGAAGAGGCGGTGGAGGAGGGGGAGAGGGAGGAGAAGTTGAAGGAGGAGGAGGAGGAGGAGGAGGAGAGGAGAAGGAGGAGGAGCAGGAGGAGGAGGAAGAGGAGGAGGAGAAGCAGGAGGAGGAGGAGGAGGAGGAGGACGAGAAGGAAGGGAGGAGGAGGAGGAGGAGGAGGAGAAGGAGGAGGAGGAGCAGGAGGGCAGGGACGAGGACAGCTCGGCATGCCTTGGCCTTGGCGTACGCGTCGGAGGCCCTCGCCAAGGCGACGTGCAGGCGGTCGCACAGGCGGCGCTCATCGTGGAAGAGGCTGTCGAACGTGGCGCACTCCTGCTGGATCGCCTCGGGCGCCCGGGGGCCTCCTCCTCCTGCTCCTCCTCCTCCTCCTTCTCCGCCTCCTCCTCCTCCTCCTCCTCCTCCTCCTCCCCTCTTCACCCCTCATTCCTCCTCCCCTCGTCCACCTCCTCCTCCTCCTCCCTCCTCCTCCTCATCCTCCTCCTGCTTCTCCTCCCCCTCCTCCTCTCCCCCCTCATTTCTCCTCCCTCCTCCTCCTCCTCCTCCTCCTCCTCCTCCTCCTCCCCCCCCTCTTTCTCCTCCTCCTCCTCCACCTCCTCCTCCTCCTCCTCCTCCTCCTCCTCTTCCTCCTCCTCCTCCTCCGAACACCCCGCGCCACGCCACAGAAGCAAGAACGGAAAAGCGTTGGCCCGCGCGCCCTTCCACATTCGGACTCTGGGGCCCTGGGCTCCTGAAACGGAGGACCGTTTTTTCACCGTTTCCGAGAAAGTATCTCTCGAACGTGGAAACAGCAAAAGACAACGACCACAAATGGCAACAAAAACGGCGCCAGGATTGGAACCGAAACCAGGAACCGGCAACACAAACGGCAACGGAACCGGCAACAGAACAACGGCGTCGGAACCGGCAGCAAAAAGAACGGCAGAACGGACCAGGTGAAATAACGGCCCTGGCTGTTCCAGGGCCCCCTGAGCTCGCGGGGGCCCGGGCCCGTCAAGAGAGCAACTCGGGCTGAAGGAGCTGGGGAAAGCAAAAGGTACCGATACCGCTACTCCCCGGACCGGTGGCGACGAGGGTTCCCCAGGAGGCCCAAAAAGGGGAAGACGGGCGAGGGGGTAGAGGTATGGGTACCTTGTCCTCCTCCGAGGAGCCAGTCTCAAAAAGAGGACGGGGCCGTGGCCTCCGAAGCCCCTGCGCTGCGAGCAACATGAAGGAGCCTGGGGCGTCGGGAGCCCGCCCGCCCCCGGGCCCGCGAGGGTACCAGGGCGGGCGGCGGAGGTTTGGCGCTCCACCTCGGGGGAGGGGGCGCAGACTCGTGGACGGGCGGCTGCGACGAGTGGAGGCACATAATTTTCGTCAACAGCCGCGAGCGAGAGCGCAACAGCGGCGTGTCAAAGTCCAGGCGGGCCGCGCGAGGTACTAGTTGGCCAAACAGAAGCGTGGAGGCACAGAACACGGCACAGACATAAACTTTCGAGAGCCCGCGCGGCGTTCTCGGAGCCGGGATCCGCGCTACAGCCCTCTCCCTGGAGCGCGGAGCGCGCCAGGGGCGGCGCCAGGGGGCGCCGCCAGGGGGCCCCTGCGCGGATCCCAGAGATCCGCGCGGGCTGTCGAAAGTGTATGTTCATGCCGTTGTTGTTCTTCGAGAGTGGAAGAGGGCAGCCGTGCGGGAGACAGGGTGGCCTCAATGTGCTTGACGACGGTCTTGAAGGGCACGGACTTCTCCAGCTCCTCCGCGGCTGTTCACGACCCCGCGGCATCTACTAAACCATGCGGACATCAGAGTATCCAGGCACCGCGTGAACAATACAACGTGATTGTGTAAATCCCTGGCAAGCCGTCAGCGAGAATGTAGGGCGCATGTGACAAGGATGCGACCACTTTATGCTCACATGCATAATGCGCGCGGCACGCGTGTAGCACGCATGCAATACAGATCGCACATGGACGCAATCCGCCGGTACTCGGCACCCATCGAGCTACCATCTGGTAAGCACGTTGCATAGAATTTGCACACGTGCAGAGCGCACTCGCAAACATTTGGGGCGCTGTTGTCACTCCAGTGTCAAGCGTAATCAAGCATTGGGTACGCACGCATTCAGCATGTCTTGGGCAGTGTACCGAGCACACGCCTTGCAACCCGTAGCATATGTCCAGCACCGAGGAAGCGTCAGCCAGGACTTACGAATTTGAAAGGAAGCACTCGTGGACGCGCCCAGCAAGTATTCAAAGTACCAAGCGATGATACACTGATGGACACGTCAAATCTGGGGTCCGAGACCATGTCCCGGCCACCCCCCACGGCACTCCCCTGCTGGGAGCGCTGCCATGGTTGGAAGCTGCGAGCCCAGGGCGCGGCAAGGAGGATCGGGCCTTCCTCGATGGGGAGGGGAAGCGATGAATGAATGAAGGGAGAGGGGGGGGGGGGGAGGGGGGGGGGGAAACGTGCACCAGTCGTCCCCCTGTTGGGCCCCAAGGGGGGCCCCTTTCGGGCCCCGTCTGGGCACAGTAGGTGCACCTCTCCTCACCCTCCATTGACCGCCCCCCCCCATTACGCAAGAGCATCCAGCCTCTCCGCCATGCGGAGCCCAGAGGCTGGCGTGGGCTGTGGGGAAGCACGCGCGGCTGCCCACAGCTGAAGGAGCGCTACGGCCGCGAGTTCTTGCTTGGCGCGCCGCGGCGGCAGCCCCTCCGACACGCCATGCATTGCAAGCTGATAGCCGTCGCGGCGATCCAGTGATGGAGGAGGAGGAGGAGGAGGAGGAGGAGGAGGAGGAGGAGGTGGAGGAGGGGGGGGAGCGGGACCTCTTTGAGGGTCGGCGCAGGCGGACTGGAGCCCTTACACCTCCCGTGGTGCCAAAGAGGTTCATACAAAGAGGCCGTCGCGTGCGTGATGTATGTCGGCGGCGGAGGGGGAGGTGAGAAGGAGAAGGCCTTCTCAGAAGGCTCGGAAGCCCCCCCGGCCCTCTGCCTTTATCATTTTCTCAGGGTGGAGGGCTCAGGGTGAAATCCATATGGGCTCTCGCACCTCGAGAATCAATCCGACTTGTGATACACCTTTTGCAGACCCAAACCTCGAAAATCATCCATCGAAACAGCATTTCGGATTTCACCCTTTGCCCTCCACCCAAAGAAAATGCCCGGTCTGCGCAGTTTGCTGTGAACCTTCCCCGGAGACAGCACAAAGACCCCTCCAAAGGCCGGAGGCCTTCTCAGCAGCCCCGCAGGCCTGCGGGGAAGGCCTCCTTCTCCTTCGCACTTCCCCCCCTCTCGCCATCGCTCGGCCGTCCAGTCCCTGTGCTTTTTCGGTCTCGTGCGCGTTTTTTTCGCCAGGTGATGAAGGATGCTCCTCGACTGTCCTCGCCGAGGGAGAAATGCACAGGTCCGAGCGATGCCAAAGCCCTGGGCGCGCCGCCGCCTCTCGGTCAGAGTCGGCCCCCGGGCCCCTCCCGGGGGCCCACCCGACGCGGTGTTCCGCCCCGGATCGAGCGTCGGGGGCCTCGGGGGCCCGAAAGCGGCCCACCGAGGGGTCGAGGACGATGACAAGAGCACCTATAGAGCCTGGAAGCTCGAAGCTTGAGCCTCGAAGTTTCCCCCCCCCCCCCCCCCCTTCGGTCGCCGCCGAGAGTGGGGTCCAGGCCTCTGGGGGTCCACGCTCTGAGCAGGAGCACGACGTCGGGGGTCTGGGTCCCTTCCGATCATCCGCGGTGGGAGGCGCGCCTGGTGCGGGGGCGGGGGGGGGGGCGGTGATGGGGGGACGAAAAGGTTCAAGGGTAGGGCTCAGGCGAAGCCAGGATTAGGTCGGGCACGTCCTCCTACAGGCGGCTTTCGGACAAGACACAAGCGATAGCCGAAACATGCTCAAACATTGTCAAACATTGTGGAGGGACGCGCCCGACTTAAATCGGGGAGACGTAAGACTCGGGGAAGGGGGACTCGGGTTGGCCCGACGGGGCAATCATAAAAACTGGCAAAGCCTGGACGAGGCGAAGCTCGCCGCCCGACATCGCCACTCCCACTCGGTGCCCCGCGCAGCGGGCGGGGGCGCGGGCACGGGCGAACAGGCCAGGGTCAGGTCGGGCATGTCCGCCTACAGGCGGCCTTTGGGCGAGAAGTCAGACAGGTGGCCAGAACAAACTCAAACATCGTCCAAGACTAGAAACATCTTCCCAAAACTATGTTTTACCACTGTTGATTCTACTCTTAAGTCGGGCGTGTCCCCCTCCCTACACGGGGATTTTCGACGAAAAATTAAAAATACTTAAAACATATTCCCAAATGGTCAAACAATGCTCCGGACTATTTTTGGACGACGTTTTGATTATTTGGGAGCTTTTTTTGTTATTTGTCGTCGAAAATCCCCCTGCAGGGGGACACGCCCGACATACTCCTACTCCCCCTTGCATAGGGACGCGCCCCACTGCCGGCGAGGGCGAGGCCGGGCACGGGCGCGTCCTTCTGCGCCGCGTCGCTGTACGCGAGGCCGCCCTCGAAGGGCTGGCGCTTGACGTGCCGCTGGGCGCCGGCGGGGGGCGGGCGCTCCGAGGGGGCAGAGCGCAGGGGGGGCGAGGCTCGCAGGGAGGGGGCCCGCGCAGTGCCAGCGCGCGGGCGATCACCCGCGGCCTCGCGAAGGGAGGAGGGGGGGGGGGAGGAGGGAGGCGGGGGGGTGGACGGAGGAGGCTGGGCGGCCTCATGTGAGCGCTGCCCCCCCCCCCCCCCACACACACGCACGAGTTTCGAGGAGGGGGTGGGGCTCGTCGCGCTCGGGAGCTCCCGAACGGAGTGAGCCCCCACCCGCCCTTGGAATTCCTGGGGGGCGGGGGTGGGGCTCGCATGTGGCCGCCGAGAGGAGGGGCGGAGGCAGCGCGAAAAGGATGCGGATGAAGAAGGGGAGGCGGACAACAAGGATGGATAGAGAAGGGAAGAAGGGGGAGGAGAAGGAGGAGGAGGAGGAGAGGAGGAGAGGAGGAGGGAGGAGGAAGGAGGAGAAGGGGAGAGGAGGAGGAGAAGGAGGAGAAGGAGGAGAGAGGAGGAGGGGGAGGGAGGGAGGGAGGGAGGGAGGGAGGGAGGGAGGGAGGGCGGAGGATGAGGAGGAGGAGGAGGAGGAGAAAGGAGGGGGGGGAGGCACGAGCTCAGTGGGCCCCGGAACCGGCGACCAAAAGCGGGAACCAGAACGGCTCCAGCACTGGAGCCGGAACCAGAACCGGCAACAACACCAGCGACGGAACCGAACAAGAAAAACGGCGCTGGAACTGGCAACAGACAATAGCAAAACGGAACAGGTCAAAAAGGGGCCCTGTCGTTTCCAGGTTTCACTCCCAAACATGCGACGTCCTGATTTTTTCAGTGCGGCGTCCCCGGAAGTCCAGACCCTTTCCCTGGGGCTGTTTTGCCAAGGGCCGAAACTGGTGAAACACCTCCGTCCTGATTTTTCTGCGGCGCGATCGTGTCTGGGCGTAGGACAGGAGGAGGAGCGGTGGAGAGACGAGGCCGCGCACGTGCCGCCGAGCTTCAGCAATGCAGCAGCGAGGCCACAGTGAGCGGCAAGAGACGTGCAAACGCGGAAAGTCCACATCCTCGGGAGGGGCCGCGGGAGAGCAGGGAGAGCGAGGAGCGGCGAAGGGAGGAGGAGGAGGAGGAGGAGGAGGAGGAGGAGGAGGAGGAGGAGGAGGAGGCGGAGGAGGAGGAGGAGGGGAGCGAGGAGGAGGAGGAGGGAGGCGCAAAGAAGGGGAAGGAAAAAGGGGAAGGTGAGCCGGGAGCACAGGAGCTCGGGCATCAGGGAGCCGCCCGAGGGACGGGCGGCCCCTGGAGGAGAGCCCCCAAAGGAGCCCGACGTGGGGGGGCTTGAACGAGAGCCTCGTGTGCCGGAGGGTGCGGAAGGGGGGGGGGGTACGGCGGGCGACCACGCAGTGGACAGGCCCTCACCGCGTCCAGGGAGGGCGGGAGGGAGAGGGAGGGTTTGCTGGCTGTGCTTTTTTCCCTCGCAGCGCGGGAGCATAGCATAAAAGAAGGCGAAAAGCTGAGGGGACGGAAGGCGGGCAGACATGCCACGGCCGCGATCGAGTGCAACGAGCAGGCGGTTCAGATAGCCGGGAGGAGGAAGAGGAGGAGGAGGAGGAGGAGGAGGAGGAGGAGGAGGAGGAGGAGGAGGAGGAGAGCGGAGCGTAGCGGGAGCGCTCGGTACCACCTACCTAGCCCAGGAGGTGGAGGAGGTGGAGGAGGAGGAGGTGGAGGAGGAGGTGGGGAGGAGGAGGAGGAGCAGGACGAGGAGGAGCAGGACGAGGAGGAGCAGGAGGAGGAGGAGGAGGAGGAGGAGGAGGAGGAGGAGGAGGAGGAGGATGGCAACGAGCAAGCGGCTCAAACAGCCGGGCAACTTTGGGGGATCGGGGGATGAGCGAAGGGGGGGGAGGGGGGGAGCAGGTGCAGCCTGCACGGCGGCCCCCGCGTGTGGGGGGCATGGGGGAGGGGGGCAGGCGGCGAGCAGGGGCGGCGAAGCATGCCGGGCGCGGGCCAGAGCGCAGGAGGGCTCGCGCCTGGCGCACGGGCAGCCGAGCAGCCCTCCTGGCCCAGTTAAGGAGGGGGAGGAGGGAGGGAGGGGAGAGGGAGGAGGGAGGAGGGAGGAGGGCAGAGGGAGGAGAGGGAAGAGAGAGGAGGAGAGAGGAGGGAGGCGAGAGCAGAAGGGGGGGGAAGAAAGAGGCAGGAGGCGGCGGCGGCGGTCTCGGTCGGCTTCTCGACGGCGCCATGCTGCGGCCCCCAGACGGGGCAGGCTCCCTCCTGGGGGCCCATGGGCCCCCAGGAGGCAGGAGAGCCTGCTCGCGCCCCCACGCGAGGCTTCAAGAACGACCACGCCGAGGCCGGCCCACGCCGCACGCAGATGGAGGAGGGACGAGGGAGGCGGGCGGGCCTCAGCCTGCGGTGGCCTCCACTGGGGGGGCCCACGTGTCGGCTGGGCAGTTGAAAGGGACGCGGTGCGAGGTATGACACTGCACGTGGCCAGGATGTGTCGGGGTCGTCGGGGGGCTGGGGCGGGGACGGAAGCGGGGCGGGTAGGGTTAGGTCGGGCATGTCCTCCTACAGGCGGAATTCAGGGCGAAAATTAAAAACACTCAATAAAAATCAAAAATGATAGAAAATCATCCCCGGAACTGTTTTCTGACCATAATTTAATATTCCCCCTGTAGAGGGTAGGGGGACGAGACGACCACCCCGGAGTTGGCAAACGTGAAGAGCACCGACCGGGACTGCCTCACGACAAGGGGTAGAGAGAATCGCGGCTAAGCCATGGCCCGGCACGGCCTCCGAAGGAAAGCCACCGATGTACGGGCGAAGGCAGAAGGATGCGGAGGCAGATCTGAAGGTTGTGGAGGAAGAAGCAGGTGGAGGAGGACGGCAAAGGTGACGACGACGCCAACGACGATCCGACTCCTGACCCAATCCCCACGCGGGCGCCGAGGCCGAGGCCATCCGGGCACGGCCCCTCGACTCCGAACCAAGCGCGCGGCCCGACGACGACGGCGACGACGACGAGCAGGACGAGGACGAGCACGACCAGCACGGAGTCGGAGGGCAGTCCTGGATGTCCAGCGCCGCGCGCAGCGGCAGCGCAGAGACGTCCACGACGCCCGGGCCGGCAGCCACGGCGTCCTTCTTGCCTCCCTTGGCGTCCTTGCCTCGGCCGCGCCGCTTGGAGGGAGGTGAACAACCAGCTGCCTCGAGGACGCCCCTGGGGAGGGCCGCGCCCCCAGCGAGGCTGTTCCGTGTGCGGCTTGGCCTCCCGCCCGAGTGGGCCAGCCTGCCACGCAACGCCGAGATGCCGACATCATAAGATGAGGCCAGGCCCAGGACAAAATCGCGTGCGGATAACTCAAGAATCTCTGAGCTCCGGCGGCTCTGGAGGACGTCTCGGGCGCCGCGGCCTCCTCAGAGATTTCCGGAACACTCTGACTGAGAGCCTTCGGAACGATCTGGAACGGATGTGTGCTCGTCCTGGCCCCGTTCGACAGCCTGCCACGCAACGCCGAAGGGTCGTCTTCATGTCACGAGAAATTCCGACACCGACCCGTCACGAGCACGGCACGACACATGACCCGAATGTCTCAGGGGGCCCTTCGGGGGGGGGAACATCGGCTCGAACTGATTCCACAGAGGCCGAGATCACCAACATGGGTGGGTCCTGTGCTCCTGCGCAACACTCGCTGGTCCTTCGCTGGTCCGTCAACCTCACACCTGCGCCCCGTGTCTTCCCTCGTCTCTTTGGCATGCACACATGCACAAGGCATACATGAGCGACGATCACAAACGGGTCTTACGCGAGATGGCACAACGACCTTACGCGGTGGCTTACGCGGGCCGCCAGCGCGGCACGCCAGTGGAGACGAGGGCGCTTTACGCGCGACCTTACGCGGGCAGCTTACGTGCCAATGTCAGTGAAGACGATAGCCGTTTTTTGGCGTCGCTCACATGGCGCGTGCCAGCTCACGCGACGCGAACCGTACATTCCCCCTCCAGCTCGGGCGGCACCACAAACAAACACCGTCTCGGGGTGGTGATCTCGCCGCAACGCTGGCCCGGAGCGGCGGGGGACGTGACGGGACGCGAACCCCCGTGGTACGGTGGATCACACGCCCCACTTGTCGGAAGCTTGGAAATTGGCACCGACACCAAACCAGGGGGGTGCACCCACCAGGAGGATCCTAAATGTCGGTGCTTGTGGTGGTTTTTCGGCCACATCGGAAACCCGAAGGTTACCACCACCATCGCCGAGATCGAGATGCTCTTCCCCCGGTGGAGGTACTCCGCCGCAAACGTGGTGCCAGTGCCAACCTCCAGGCCTCCGACGCGGCTGGCCGAGAAGCACTGAGGGGCATCGATCCAAGGGGGAGGCCAACTCGGGTCGGGGGGGACGCCTCGACCCTGAGGCGGCGATGCAGTCGGCCCGCATCAGAAGGACGCAGGATACAGACGGGGCGTTGACCTGAGGAACCCTAAATAAGGAGCCCCTTTCTTCCATGAATTAAACTTCGATTCCCCATCGACAACCTACGGACAACCTAAGGCAAGCTGTGAAACAATCAAGGAACACAGAGCACCTCCCCAACGAAAAGGGTTCCTTCCTCAGCGCCCCGACTGTAAGGGTGCAAGGGCATTGGAAGGCCGTGTCGAAGCTTTTCGCGCGGGGCGCGGCCAGCGAGGGTGGCCAAGGATGGATCGAGAAGGCAAGGATGCAAGGGTACCCCCAAGATGGCCCAAGAAGCGAAAATATTGCAAAACCCATCTGGCCGCTCTCCGAGGGGCCGCGCCTGAATGGCATGGTGACAAGCTGTGCCCCCTTGCGCCCGAGGGCTCTCGCCACAGCGGCCAGCATGCATCCGACTCGGAGCGGTGCTCTCGGCCCAGCGGCGGCCGCACTCCCGGCCCACAAGCGGCGGCCTCGCTTCAGCTCTGGCCGCCTCTGTCCACACTCCTGGCCAGGAGTGGTGCTCTCGACCCACTGCGACTACACGACGGGCCGCGCGGTGGGAGGAGGCTCGTGGCTCCATCCTGGAGGGGGAGATCTACGGGGACCATGACCGAGACTGAGCGCAGAAACATCGTAGCGATCCTGGTCACCGCCGATCTTGGTCAGCGTCATTTCGTGGATCATGCTCGCGGCTCGGCGACGGCCGACGCAGACCAGGCACAAGATCGGCATCGACACGACCCCGGGGCATCTTGGTCATGATCCCCAGGCTTCTGCCCTCGAACCCCCCCCGTGCCCCAACGGCCCTCGCACAGCGCCTGCCGTACTTGGACTCCCGGCTCCTCCTCCTCCTCATCCTCCTCCTCCTCCTCTTCTTCGTCCTCATTATCCTCGTCCTCCTCCTCCTCCTCCTCCTCCTCCCTACTTGGACACCTCGCCGGCCCCAGCGTAGGAACATGGAAAACTGACACCAACACTACCAGGGACCAGCAGCGGGAGGAGCCAGGGAGGGGTCCCCTGGTGGTGTGGTCACCGCTCTCGCCCGGGACATCCCCCAACTTCCCGGCTCGAAGAGGCATCGTGGACCTCCTCGCTGGAGGTGGCGCCCTGGTGGTGTTGGTGTCGCTTCTCCTTCCCCCCATGGCGAGGGGGGAGGACGAGGAGGAGGAGGAGGAGGAGGAGGAGGAGGAGGAGGAGGAGGAGGGAGCAGAGGAGAGGAAGAGCAGGAGAGGAGGAGGCGGAGGAGGAGGCGCAGGAGGAGGAGGAGGAGGAGGGGAGGGGCGAGGAGGCGGAGGAGGGAGGGAGGGGGGAGGGGAGGATGAGCGCAGGAGGAGGGGAGGAGGAGCAGGAGGATGAGGAGGAGGAAGCAGGAGGAGGCGGAGGAGGAGGAGGAGGAGGAAGCGGAGGAGGGGCAGGAGGAGGAGGAGGAGGGGAGGGGGCGGGGGAGGGGGAGGGGGAGAACGGAGGAAGAGGATTAGGAGAAGGAGAAGCAGGAGGAGGAGGAGGAGGAGGAGGAGGATGAGGAGGAGGAGGAGGAGCAGGAGGAGCAGGAGGAGAAGGAGGAAGAGGAGGAGGAGAGGGAGGAGGAAGAGGAGGAGGAAGAGAACGCCTTCTCC